AACCGGAGGGAGAGAAAATGAAAAAATCTAAGGTCCAAAGGCCTTGCTTAAAAGAAATTTAAAACAGGTACAGACACATAATCTCTTAAAGCTTCTGGGCCAGTGTCTGGAATATGGAGAGAAAATTGATGGATATTTCAAAAGGTAGCCAGTATAGCTAGTAAACCAGACTTTGAATGCGTAACCTATGGGAGTGTACTGCTGGAAAAGTTTAAAATACCATCTTTATTATTCCTAAGAATATATGATGTTTAGAATTTAAACTGGACAAAACAAGAATATGTATTATCATAGAAAGACTCTAAACTGACCCATGCATGGAGTTGGTGACCTAGCAGGTCTTTTTCTTTGCTAGAGATTAAATCACATCTGGCAGAAAATGCATTATATGTTAATTAAGTGCCCAGGTATTAGTGGCTTTATTGTATGACTCATTGAACAGTGAGTTAACCTTAATATACCTTCCTGAAGTTGTCTGGATAAGCTTTTCTATTTATTCAGATTGTTCTGATGCAGGTTGTACTTGAGTGTAATGGATGAAGCCTGCATAAAATAAATTAAAAAAAAAAATCAAATATTCAAGGCTAGTGATGTTGTGAAGACGTATGAAGACAGTCACCACAGGAGCTGGACTAAGTCATTCAGCCACTAGAGGGCAAAATCATTGCATTGTAATCCTCACGGCAGGTCTCTGTTTTTGGAAGGGTGTAATCAGAGTTGGTTTTTACAGTAGAAACTGTAATAAGAGATCATTAAGCAGTCCATCGGCAGAGGTGGTAGTAATGAATAGTTAAATATTGTTTTTTGTAGGATTGTGGTATGCAAACAGTTACTAGCAACTATGTGGAAAAAGCCTATATTTTGTTCCATGGAACTGTGAACAAAGGCGATGGTCATCCAAGGCATTTTGACTCAGGCTCACAGCACCGGCCCTTCCCACTTGAGATCACAAATATCAACAGGAGGCTGCATGTGATCAGGAACCACACTAGGAAAGTGATGAGCATTCTGCTGTGAGTTTCCTAATTGTTTAATGATACAAGAGCAGTCAGGAAACTTAAAATTATTTTGATCAACGTGAGATTCTGGAGATGTTCAGAGCCTCATCTCCAATCCCCTATTCAATTCTGTCTTCGACTTTTCAGTATCATATGTTCCTCTTCTCTCCACTGGCTCTGTTCTGCACCTATGCCACTTTACCACTAAATATCCATTCTGTGCTCCCACCAAAACTCCCATTCTACTGTTCACAGATCAAGGCTGGGCCAGGGTTGGTTTAAATCGAAACTGATCTTCCTCTGCTTGCCATGAGATAGATCAGTAGCCTGCCTGTGAGAACAGACAGAAGCAGATGCCAAATAAGAAATTAGTAGCAGGATAATCATATAGTGTAATTTGTAAGGAGTTCCCAGCTTCCAGCAATGTATGTCAGACTTCTCAAGTAAGAAGTGTTATCTTTGTATGTAATACACTTCAAAGGATTTGCCTTCTGTGAACAACTACACTCATTCCTTCAGCTCATGTAAACATTAGCATCCAGATGGCTGCTCCCATCATGTGCTCAGAGACACATGATCTGTGTCAGATGATGCTGAAGGGGATGACAAGTTGCTTCTTAGTGCCCAAGGAAATCCACTTCTGCATAGACAAGCAACAACAATCCACAGCTAGGATCTTGTAGTTGTCTCTGACAAGCACCTCACCTAACTTGTTCCTCCCTGAAGTGTCTCAATAATTAATTCACTTGGTAAAAGACCTCACTGGCAAGGTGAACGAAACTGCCTTAAGTATAGTCACTGAATTCTGGAAGTACTTAAAACATGTGATTGATTGAGTCAGCCCTTCACTTTCTTATAGACATGGAAACAGATTTAATGTTTTGACTTTCTGTCTGAATCATTCCTGCTGTTCTTCTCTGGACCTCCTCTTTTCCAGCTTCTGTGAGGAAATCTGAATATCAGATTTCAGGAGCAGTTGGAGTTGTGCCAAATAAAAATGAAGACATAATTCTATATTCTTCTGTTTATATAACTAAGGATTATATTATCCTGCTGGCCACAGCACCATACCACCTGCTCATCTGCTTCTGATTATTTGTGATGTCTCTTGAGGTTTTTGAGCATTAACTTGTTATAGCGTAAGTTCTCCCATCCTGTAATCATGACCTGTACTCTTTGGTGCACGTATTTACATCTGGCTGTACAGAAATGCATATTACTTGCTATCACGCTGTCTCAGATACTCTACGTTCTGACTTCTTGTTGTTGATCCTTATTGTTTACATCACTCACAGACTTGGTGATGGTTTTATGTTCTCCTTGAAGCCATTACTAAAGATATAATACCATAGAACCAATCACTATGTGACACAGAAACATGTTCTTTGATGATGCCTTCTTATTTCCCTAATTCGTAACTGCCAGTTAGACAGAATTTAAAGAGTTTAGTATGTGCTGTAATGAGTCCGTACCATTCTGGTTTCTTAATTAAAGTGTTTTAAGCTAACAAGTATTTCACAGACATACTTACCTTGATCAACCAAACTTGTAATGCCATTAAAAATCAAATTATTTTGGCAAGATTTGTTTTCCACATTAATTTGCATTAATTTTGTTTCCATGCTTTAATTCTTTTCTAATCATGTAATGCAGCCCATGTCCCATTATGTTGCCCAGAATTCTTGTCGGTCTGGCAAGCCATAATTACTCTGGTCACCTTGTTTACCCTCTTGAAATGTTGGTGCAATATTTCATCCAGTCTTCTGGAACAGCATTCCAAGATTTGTTGAAAATTGACGTTAATTGTCTAGAGATACTCTGTGCCAGTGCTTTTAAAACGTTTGGACACAAGTTGCCTAGACCTGCTGATACCCAGCTATTAGCTTCTGTTTAGCATCCCCCTCAGAGCCTGTTGCAATGGAATGTATCTCATCATCATCATACTGTATTTGTGTATCACCTGGCTCTTCCCCAAATGCAGACCAGAAATACTGAGCTCTTCCACCTTCCTGTGTTATTGTTCACATTTCTACTGTTTCCATCCAGTAACAGACTCAGACCATTGCCAAGCTTCCTTTTCCCACAAGTTTCTGCAAGTTTTGCCAGGTAGTTTAAACATTCTCCTTAATTCTCTATAACTATTGCTGTATCAGTTGCCCATAACTCCCAGCTCTCAATGCATGTACGCTGCTACAAATCCCTATCTTTGTATTGACCCTGCAACTTTCAGCTGCCCCCCTCAACTATGGCACCCCATGGCTTCCCCTCACCTTTCTAACCATGGTCTCCTCATCCTCTTTGCAGTTCTGTGGCAGGGAGTTGGAGATTTGTGATCCTTGAGGTCCCTTTCAGCCTGGGCCATTCTGTGACTCTGTGATTCCCCACCTTTGTGTGAGCTGGACTCTCCACATACTCAGGCTGTCCTCTTCCTTGGTACCTTCTCACAAGCAGCTGGGCAAAGACGGTGAAAGACTTAGGGAGAGAGGTGGTTAAATCAATGCCAAATGTCCGTGCTACCATCTAGGGCATTATTAGGCATATTTTTCTTGTCCCAATGCACTAGATGCTCACTGACATGAAGCTGATGCACTATAAAGAGCTGACGTTTTTTTTTTTCCATAGTTGTACTGAATGTGCCAAGTAAATGGTCCATGCCTTATGGCATTGCTGGGACTTGGGACCAAAATTATTGTTTGCACACAGTGTTTATCATTACTCATGCCCAAATTCTTCCCTAGCAGAGGGATCACATTGTGGAGATGAGAAGGATACTTTCATTCCAGGTATCTGGCAGCACAGCTGTATAAAACAGAACAAAATTCTGGTAGCAATATAACTATGAGACGTAGGTAGTTGGGGAACCACAGGCGTGCACTTGGCTGGAGGGCATGAAGTGTCAGATTGCTGATGGTGTACTTTCTTTCTGTCAGGCAGGCCGTGTATTTAGCTGTGTGAGCTGTTGTATGAGGGCTGTTCTGAGGGCAGTGACTGTGCACTGTGCTGGATCAGAACTCATCAGTGCTTTACAAGCGTGACACCACTAATTGCCACAGACGGCACGTTGGGGTTGACCTGGAATGCTTTACAGGAGAAAGCAAATTCCACTTCTATTTAATGTGCTGCTACCAGACACGATCAGCGTTTTTTATCTCCTCAGCTCTTTGTCCACAGATTGATGATTCACTCAGTGCGGAGCATCTTGTGTTTTCTCCCTGAAAAGCGCATCGTTCTACCAGAATCAATGAATAAACACTAAGTGCTTCCTTTTGATTTCCAGCGGGATGGGCGAGTAGCCCCCGATTCGCTCCCTGGGGCTCACGGCAGCGTAGGAAGCAGGCGGAGCCCAACCCGCCGACAGCTCCCTCAGCGCTCCTGAGGCGTTGGCCGTGAGCGCGGGCGGGGCGCGGCGGCACGCGGCTGAGGCGGTGAGCGAGGCCCGTGAGCCGGGCCCTCGGGCTCCGGCCGGCGGTTCAAACCGGAGCCGTGCGCGGGAGCCGGCGGTTGTCCGCCCCCTCCTCAGCCCGGTGCGCAACGCGCACACACGGGCGAAGCGTTGGAGAGACGGTTTTGCTGACGGAGTCCGAGAGCACTTCTGAGTCCGCTTTTGTGAGGAGCCAGTGTGTTTTTTTTTCTCTCTGGAGCTGCCTTTCAGTGGGTGGCTCCGCGCACCCCCCGGGCGTGCCGGTACCGCCGCGTCCGCACAGCGTAGGGCGTCCCCGGCTGCCATTCGGAGGCGTGAAGCACGGAGCGCCCGATGCGACGCGCGCGGCTCCCACACGCTGCCATTTGCGGGCGGCTCCCGGGAGCCGCGTCGCTCCAGCTTGGGCGCGCGTATGGGCGTGCGATCCGGAGGTGGCGGGGCGGGGGTGCGTCAGGTGCCGCAGTGCCGTGCGCTGCCTCTGGGCCCGGCCAGGGGGCGCTGCCTGCCGGGAGCTGCGGCGGCCTCGGCCGCGGAGCCAGCGAGCGGAGCCCGGCTGGCGGGCGGTGAGGGCGGGCGCCGGTCTCTCCAGCGCTCGCGGGGACAGCGGGGCCCGCCCGGGAGCGAGCGGCGGCGGCTGGAGGAGCGCGGCCCCGGGGGATCCCCCTCGCCATGCAGACCCGGCGGCGCCTGCCGCCCGCCGAGGTGAGTGAGCCCGGCCCTCCTTCGTCCCCGGGCTCGGAAGGCCGAGGAACCCCGCTCCCCAGGCCCCTCTCCCCGGAGCGAGGCCCCGCGGGCGGCCAGGGAGGGCTCCGACGCCCGAGCCGAGCCGGGAGCACCCGGAGGGGGGGTGGGGATAACGCGGAGGCTCCGCGTGCCCCTCGCCCCGCCGCTCTCGTCCCTCGCGTGCGGCCCCGGGGTCGGGCGCCCGGCCGAGGGAAAGCAGCGAGCTCCCCTCGGCCCTGCCAGCCCCAAACCGCCGTTCTCCGCCGTCCCTGGGTGCTGCTCCCCGGCCTGCCCCTCCCCCGGCACGGCCCCCGGAGGAGGACCGCTCGGCGGGCTCCGCAGCCTCCCCTGGACCCCCTCCGTGTGCCGCTGCGAGGCTCCCCCCCGCCGCCCCGGGCCTGGCTCAGCGCCCCAGAAGGGCGGGGAGGATGCCCGTTTGCGTTTCGTGCCCTTTTTATGGCTGGATCCGCGCTCTGTCCCCGGGCGCCGAATGTGACTTGCTCATCGCGATGTGTAACAAGTCCCTCCTGCAATGGTGGTGGTGGTTTGGGGGGGGGGGGGGAGGGGGATGGGGCCAGCGGGCGGGATGCGTTTTGTAACATCTCTAATTAAGCGAAACTGTGGTCGTGTTTCAGTCCAGGAATAACCGGCACTTGGGGCATGTCAGACTTCGTGCAGAGGTGGGTTAGTGACCTGCTCTTAAATGTTAGGGTTAAAGAGGTGCGTGTGATGAGGGGCAGCTGGAGAACTGCTTTTATCTTCTAACCACACTGAGAACCAAGTGGCAGCTGGGAATTGATAGACTTTCTGTTTTGGTGTTATTTTGTTTATTTATAGAGATATTACTGATTGTTTTGTGACAAAGCTTGTGTTTTTTTTCTTTCTTTTTTTTAAAAAATCTGTCAGAGGGTTTAATTCTTACACATGCTTTCATTCAGTTCAGAAATTAGAAGTTGACTAAATAGGGAGTCTCAAAATCTGGTGACCTTCACATTAAGTGTGGTTGGATTGGATTAGAATTCCAGAACAACACTGCCTTCAGTATGTTGGTCCAGGCTGAACCCAGAACTGGAAGGGGCTCAATAAGCAAATAAAGATATTCTGCTTGAATAAAAGCTTTTATTTTCTTTGGACAGCATTTATTGACCATATGATGTTTTAAAGCTTAATTAGCTTTTATTAGCAAACCATTTTTGATTGCATGGAATGAATCCTGATCTTAGATGTACCTTCAGTGATTAAAACAACAGAATCCCTTGTTTGTAGCCAGTGGTGCACTTTCTTTCTTCTTTAAGTTATGGCATGCAAAGCTACAAGAACCATCTCCTTGACCCAAGAGAGACAAAATTAGAAATCTCTCCACAGAGGTTTGGAGAATCTGAAATGGAAGCTGAAAAAGGACCTAAAATCTCAGCTGTGCCTCCATCTAATTCAGGCTCTGATACAAACCTAATGAGTTATCATCTTCAGACATGTTGTGGTGGGTTCTGTAATTGTCCATTTTCTTCTTTCGTTTGTGAGGGAAGAAGAAAAAACACCACAAAGCTGCAATTCTGAGCCCTGATTTTAGGTGTTAATTCTGTGCTAGCTTTGAGTCAGTTATTAGGCAAGAGATTAAATACTTTCAAATGCTCGTTTCAGGATCTGAGACCTGGGGCTAAGGCTGAGATGAAATACAGTTTATTTCAGTTTCTCAGGGAACAAAGGTAGAGACTGAACAAAGAGGCAGTATTAAAACTTGTGGTCAAGGAATGATAAGCTTTTAATGTATGTTGCTGTCAGTCCATCAGCTCTGCAAACCAGGGTGGAAAAAAGCTTGTTAGTTTTGTGTTCTTATGGACTCTGTATGTGGTTGTTTTGCAGAAGGATTAGAGTGAAGGTTTACTGTAGAATAGAAATTGGCCAAAAATAAGTGGCTTTTGGAATAAATTATGTATTAATATTTTGTTGATCAGAATGATCTCCCTGATGCACTACGATAAGAATCTTCAAATAATTTTGAGCTTCTTGACAAAAAAAAAAAACAAAAAAAGAGGGATGATAATTTCCATGGTTAGTGTGTGTGCTGATGAATTGCATCCGGATCATTGTTAGAAGATACCAATATATTAATAGAGTACTTTGAAACCTTTATGCAAATGCTGCTGTTTTTTAAGTGATTGAGATTAAATTGTTGAAAGAGATTACAGGAATCCTGTTTTAGGGCTCTGCTTGTGATGTCTTATGAGACTTGAACTTTGAAATGAACGGAGATGTCAGCTGACATGCAAGGTTTGGGCCTTGAGAAACATTTCAGTACAATGACTCTGTAAGTTCACAAAGCTTTTTTTATTGATAATAAATATATAAGCAAGTGTAAATGGGTGAAACAAGTGAGAGTTTTAGGAGACAGAAACAGCTTTCACTTCTCTTGACTTTGTTTTGGTTACATCTTGGACATTTGGGAAAATTACATCCCTTCATGTAAGTGGATGGGAAGTTTGAAAAGATATACAGAGAATCCTTCACTTACACAGTAGTTTCTACTGAAGTAGAATTCAGAATATCTACCCATTCCAATGAGTTTGACTAGCAACGAGAGCAAAACATGCTATATTGTTATCAAAAGGATAAGTGTGATAGATCGTGCTATAAGAGAGAAGTAGAAGTGTGCAACATGGATGCTCGTTCTTCTGAAATAACAGCGAGTCAGCATGAAGTTGCCTGAAGGCAAAAGGCAGAGAAGATTTGGCAGTGGTCACTTAAACTATTATAAAGGGCTTTACTAAAGTCATTTTTAAATTATAGTTGTTAAAGGCACTGTAGTATGTGGCCAGGAGCTTAGGGGTGACAGTGCTGCATAGACTGTTCCTACACAGTTCGTTCTCTAGCTCAAGTGGGAGTTAAATTAAAGAAGCAGGTCCAGACAACCAGATTTTACACATAGTTCTGTTAGAATAAAAAAGGCAAACAAAAAAGTGAGAAACTATGTGAAAAACAGAGTCACAGGCAGTAGATGTTTCTGTGTTAGAGCAAGTGTGGAGCTAGAGTGCTCTCAGCAGTACTGGTACAAGCTAGGACAGTAGTTTTGTGTTGGTTTAATTCAGTTATGAAGATTGGTGAGAAGACTTTACTGCTGTTTTGTTTCTGTGTAAAATTTGGAGATGTATGGCAGTGTGGCTGTATGTTCATGTCTTAAAGTGACAGTGTCCAAATGCAGATTTTTTTTGAGTATTCTGTCCGGTGTACATTGGACTTCCACTTGCATTAATTTTTTGTTTTGCTAGATGTCCTTGAGTAGCAATTACCAATCTTTGTATTGAATCATTTTCAGATAGCACTCTGCATGCCGCCTCTTTGTTGCGTATGGAATATGTAAATGTCTTGTTTGCTGTAAACATGGCTTATATTCTTAATGATTTGATGGCAGCTGAAATGATGAATCTGCCTTGTGAGTCAGTGGGGTCATGTTAACATCAGTTGTTTAAGGGAATGTGTTGAAGATGCAGAAGCATTCTGGTATGCAGCATCATCTTTGTTTTCCTATGAAGAGCTGTACTGCATGCTACTAGTTCATAGTTTTCCTTCTGTTTTCTGTACTTTTCTACCTCCCTTTTAATATCAACAAGAAGCATTTTTAAAATATATATATATTTTAAGGAATTAATTGCATAGTAAAGTGTAGTAGGACTTTATAATTGAAAGTGGTATTAATTTTTCTTAATAATTGTATTAATTTTTCTTAAAATTGTTTTGGATTTCTGCTACTGGTTCAGTTCCCATGTGCTAACAAAGGTGAAAGTTTTCTGATGGAGGCTTGAGGCATCCACTGATATTCTACACAGTGATGCTGAGCCTTGTTTAGGTTATGGCTTTGTATATAAAACAATGCAGTGCTATGTTCTTCTGTTTGTTAGCCTGACTGCAGTTTGCAGCAGTTAAAAAAAAAATGAGCTAGACAAACCTGTAACTGTTTTTTTTCTGCTATTATTTGTATATGAAAATACTTCACTGCAGATCTCACTTTGGTAACTATTTTAGGACCATTTCCCAGCAATTGGTGATTAGTGACAGAGGAATTGGGTATGATTGGAGATACTGGAAATGTTTTGAGCCTTTGCATGTATTGCAAAAATCTCTTGCCCTGTTAAGAGTCATAATTTGGTAGACTGTATTTTCTGTGTTTACTGGTAACGTTTCATTGTGAGTCTTGCTTACTGACTCGTGCTTCAGTTTTGCCAGAGTACATCCATGGGGCTGCCTAAAAAGGCAGAATGTTGAGGATTGGTCTCAAGTTCCCTTCTTTGTTGTTGTTGTTGAAGTGGTAGCTGGAAGGAACCTTCCTTCCGTCTTCCCAGCACTCGGATCAGAGGTCATTTCCTACCAGGTGATGATTGGCAATTAAGCCATGCTTATGTCAGAGATTCACGTGTGCTCTTTCAGTTACAGAACTGCCGTAGTTACCCTAGGAATCATTTGCCTTACTCTTGTAATGTTTTGCATTACTGTCATGTGAAAGTTTTAGTTTATGATATACTGAAACTTTTTTATTTATAACTCAATCGTTATTCATGAGTTCAGTGTAAACATTTATATTTTGTTTGGGGAAATAATAGGTGGAATACATGAACTACAAAATTCACAGATTATATCAGTGAAGAAACACATGCTGATACATGTCTCTAAAAAGTAGTACAATGAACTTAAAAGGAGTTGGCGATGTTCAGTGTAAGAAGCACATCAAAGAGCCTTCTAAATCCCATAGTAGCTTCTGCATTTGTGAATGATGTTGACTATTAGAGGAGCTTTTCAGTTTCCAGGTTCAGTTTTGTAGTGTCAAAACTCTTCTTTGAACTCAGTGCACATGTTGACTTGCCTGTTTGCACTCTGCATGTGATCTAGCTGGTTGGTTTGGGGTTGCTGAGATAAGCATGAGCCATGTGTAAGTCTGAATGTATAGTAAATATGTAGTTATGATAAATTCAAAAATAATTGGCAAA